ACATTATGCATCGTCTCTTGTCTCAGCGCATGTAGATGAGGAGGGACATAGCTTCAATTGGGACCAAACAGTGATTTTAGCTCAAACAACAACACAGAAAGGAAGAGAGTTCCTAGAAGCATGGTACTCTTCTAATAATTCGATCAACATGCGCATCGACATTGACCCCGTGTACCATCAACTCCGAAAGAAAGATCTCCGGCGAATCGCAAGACCTGGTTCAGCCGTGGAAGCAAATGGGCAGAGATCACGTGGCACAAATCGAAATCGCCACCTTCAAAAGTCACCTGCCCGTACATGACGGACTGACAATCCACTAAGCAGTAATACACACTGCCTATTACTGCACCGAGGATGCCACCTCGCATGGTGGTGAAACGTATGCGATTTCTTAATCAAGCTCGGAAAAACAATCAACAGGTGAGCAACCGAGCCGAGCTACCAGTGTTCCAAGTTATTTCGAACTCTAAAAAGTTGTCACTCATTAGTCAATGCGCGCTTGTGTCTAAAAGGAAACATTTTTCCAGAGGCCATCCTTGGATCAATCACGAGTTAAGGATCCTTAGGAACAAACGACTCCAATTATGGGATCGCTTCAGATCTACCAAATCGGCCTTAAACTGCCTGAATTACCAGACTGTTAAGGACCTTTGTACCCTAACGAAACGCGAGGAACAACAGTACAAACTTCGTTTAGTGGACGAAATCGACGCTTGCTCACAGTCTACTTTTATCTTATCTGAAGAAAAGTACAACCGCTGAACATGGAATACCTGCTTTGTATTCTAGCAAGATTAATACCATACTTCATGTGAATGATGCAAAATACTGGTCACCTGGCTTTGCAGTATTTCTCTGTATTTTTACACCGAAGCTCTATTTTACCTCACCACACCCCAATACATTAAAGCACATAGAGATCAGTGACGACTTAAGAAACTGTTATGGTTGCGGCTGACCTACCGATGACCTGCTGCTAGCGTGCACTCTGATCAGCCCGACTTCCCAAAGCAGGAGACCGGCGTACGGCTGGCAAGTATATTTTTCCTAACGTCCAAACTAACGGTACATTCAATTTATGGCCAAATCAATAGCCCTCAGCGTAAAACGCTCTCATTGGCTGGTTCCGTCCCATTAACACCTTCCCCCGCAAAAGTTGACATAAGACTTCATTTTTGGATCCAACTGCATTCTTACGACAGGTCTCCGTAGTCGATCAGTACAGCGCCGGGTCTGGACCTTCGGTTCCTCTGAGACTTCTGTGCGGGATGCATCCGAATTGCTTTGGGGATTAGATGGCATGTCGAAACTCTCTAGTAGAATATCTAACGGTAGTAACCGAGCGCTTGTGCCCGCAGGGATGCTAGTTGGTCGCAGCTGATTGGAATGCCTGGTCCAAATCAAATTACCCACATTAACCTCATATAGCACCTGTCCAATATTTCTCCGTATCGATCCTACCACCCATTGCGGGTTTCCCGCGCGATAGTCTCTTACTAAGACACGCTGTCCGGGGTAAAAGCGGCGTGCTTGAGTTCTGTGTCGCTCGTTGTAGTACTGCTCCATCCGAACGTTCCTTTCTTGCTCATTAGTACACCTCGGAGTTAGCAGGGAATTCACAGTACGGAGTTTTCTTCCCATTAGTGCTTCTGCCGGCGACAACTGGTTTGGTACTTGGGGATTTGAAGTTGATCTGTACACGAGCAAAAATGTATCAAGTATCTCCTGTGTGGTTCCTTCCCCCCGCATCTTTAGTAGCGATCGCTTAAACGTGTCGACGAAGCGCTCTGCTTGTCCATTTGACTGAGGGTGAAACGGTGGCGACCGTAGATGCGTGATACCATGCTGTGCGCAGTATTCGGCAAATTGGGAAGAAGTGAACTGAGAACCATTGTCAGTGACCAAGGTTTCTGGTATTCTGTGTTGACTGAAAAGTCTCCTCAAAATGTTAATTGTTGCACCACTTGTCGCACGCTCCATACAGAAGACCTCAGGCCATTTACTATAGGAATCAACAACTATTAGGTACTGCTGACCGTTTAGGGGACCAAAGAAATCAGCGTGCACGCGTTCCCACGGTTTTGTTGCCAACGGCCAGGAAGCTAAGTCAGCTTTTCTCGGTGCCTTACTAGCAAGCGCGCATCTGGGACATGACTTTACTAGTTGCTCGAGTTCCGAATCAATGTTTGGCCAGTAGACAAAACTCCGAGCAATGCTTTTCATTCTGTTAATTCCAGGATGTGCCCGATGAAATTGCTGAAGGACTCTTTGGCGAAGTTCTTTGGGTATGACAATTCTCTCGGCCAAAAGTAAACACCCATTTACGATCGAAAGTTCGTCCTTTCTCCGAGAGAGAATTTGTAGCTCTCCGGATAGAGTATCACTTGGCCACTGCGTAGTGTGAAATTTGATTACCTGGCGCAAGAGGGGATCTCGCACAGTTGCGTCACGTACCATGTCGAACGTCACGGGAAGCTTCCTAAAATTCTCCATCAAGACCTGGTTGACCTCTGATTCAAGGGAGATTGCTGCAATTATAGATTCTTCCTGCTGATGCTGTTGTAGCTCCAATAACCGGGAAAGTGCGTCTGCTTGACCTATGTCCTTTGTAGCCGTGTACTTCACCGCAAAATCATAGGCGAGTAAGGCCGTGGCCCAACGCTGCAGTCTGTTCGCGGTATAAACGGGTATACCGGACTTTGATCCAAATATGGCTAGGAGTGGTTTATGGTCGGTAAGCAGGGTAAACCTCCTGCCATACAACATTTTGTGAAATTTCTTTATTGCAAAGACTATCGCTAATGCCTCTTTCTCTATCTGCCCGTAATTCTTTTCGGCTGGCGACAGTGATCGAGCTGCGTGTGCGATCGCTTTTTCCGATCCGTCAGCAAACTTATGAGAGATAACTGCACCCACGCCATACTTCGAAGCGTCTGCCGCCACCACGATTTCAAGTGTAGGGTCGTAATGTGTCAGCATAAGGTCAGAACACAGCATTCGCTTCACCTCCTCAAAGGACTTCTGACAATCTTCGGACCAGTGCCAACGTTTGTCCTTGGTGAGTAACTCATTGAGTGGTCCACGCACGCTGTGCATATGTGGCAGAAATTGACTGTAATGACTGACGAGTCCTAAGAAGGACCTCAGAGTAGGCACATCTTTGGGACGTGGCATCTTTTTTATAGCATCAATGTTTGACGGATCTGGACGTCTACCGCTCTTGTCAATTATGAAGCCAAGAAAATTAATGGAGTCCATGAAAAACGTGCACTTTTCTGGGCGAAGTCTAAATCCGTACTCTTATATACGATCAAGTACTAAGTGCAGCTTTCTAAAAAGGTCATCTGGGTGAGTTCCGACGACAATGATATCGTCCAAATATGCGGCAGCACCATCTACATCTGTTAGCATAGTATCCATGATTTGCTGAAAAATTGCTGGCGCGGACTTAACTCCGAATGGAAGTCGATGATACTGATACAAACCTCGGTGCGTATTTATCGTCAGTTGTTGTGTCCCCAGGCGTTCGACTTCTTAAATTGCGCCCCACGAGTCAAAAAGACACGCACCGGACAGGAGGTATATTTGCAGAACACTACACGGGCCGGCGTGGGTATGAAACACTCAAAGTCCAGTCCCAATCATGGCTGAGGGCTAATTTGAATTTATCGATCTGAAAGAACCACGGGTCGTGTGAGGGGCATGTAACAAGCAGTAGTAACAAATGTTCTGAAACATGGAAAAACTGTGTTTTTCTTTCACCTCCAACACCTCCCTCTCTTAAAAATGCGGGTTACCTGGGGTTCACTTAACTCTTTCGACGCGGATCCACCTAAGTCCACTTGGATCTGCGACCATGGGGGTACGGGCTTCGGCCAAGACATCAGTGTCGCCCGTACTGGTAGATGAGTCATTGACTCTTTGATCAAATTTAACTTCGTAATCCGGTTGGTTCCGTGCAGCTTAACATTTGTAGAGTATACTGGGTAGATTTTTCCATAGTGTAGCAAATCATTGAGTCTGCGTTCACAGGCGATGCTTCCTTTCAGCTGCAGAAGTTCCTCTGAAACCTTTTTAACCGTTAGGATTGTAGGTTTGACTGACGATGTGCCAAGTCTTGCCCGGGTTCCAAGAGAAGTGCTCTTGAGAGCATGCAACGTTTCTGGTAGCAGCGATATCGGGACATACTTGCGTTTCACTGTGGGGTATTTCCTCTTCCCTGAAAAGTGTGTACGAAATACTGCAAAAGGCGTGTCTCTCACTGTGCCCAGATACCTGTTTCTTTTTAATCTTGAGCTCGCTTGCAACCTTGGAGTATACGCGCATCTGAATTGGTGCGCCTTTTGACAATGATGATTTTTGTGGGCGCAATTTCTCACAGAACGTCTTCCATCACCGTTCCATACTGCAGTCGGAGGCTTCCAGTTCGGCACGTTTCCATTCACATTTTGGACACCAATGACTGTATGACAGGGCTGGGGTTCTTCTCTGTGTTCTGAAGTTGCAATCGTTTCTGGGTCATGATTCAAACTGGGCAGCTTGTGGTATTCAGATACAATTTCCTGGGCTGTTAACCTCGGTTCCGGTTCCCATTCCACTTGAATGTTGAGCTTTTCTGATAACAGCTGAATTAACTGCCGCTGTGATTTTTCAAACTGGAGTTGTTGCTGCTGAAGGAGGGACTGCAACTGCTCGAATGAAATAGCCATGATAATTCAACACCTCCGTCGCCAGAAATCTGTTGTGTCCCCAGGCGTTCGACTTCTTAAATTGCGCCCCACGAGTCAAAAAGACACGCACCGGACAGGAGGTATATTTGCAGAACACTACACGGGCCGGCGTGGGTATGAAACACTCAAAGTCCAGTCCCAATCATGGCTGAGGGCTAATTTGAATTTATCGATCTGAAAGAACCACGGGTCGTGTGAGGGGCATGTAACAAGCAGTAGTAACAAATGTTCTGAAACATGGAAAAACTGTGTTTTTCTTTCACCTCCAACATCAGTAATTCTCTAGAAGCTTCATCAACTTCTATTTGTAAGTACGCATCCGATAGATCTAGCTTGGCAAAACACTGACCCCCATTTAGTTTCGAGAACAAATCATCTGGGACTGGCAGAGGATACTGATGCGTGTTTAACGCTTCATTCAGCCCAGTAGAAAAGTCGGCACATATTCGGATCTGGCCGTTCGGCTTCTTGACAACCACAATTGGAGCCGCCCAAGAAGAGTAGTTCACTGCATAGATAACCCCAAGTTTCTCCAAACGATCAAGTTCCTGGTCAACAATTGGGACTGCTGCGTAAGGTACTGGCCGCTTTGCACGGAAAACAGGAACAGCATCGGGTTTTAAGGACAATGAGGCTTGCAACTTTGTACACTTACCAAGTCCTTCACGGAAAACAGGTGCATATTTCTCTCGAATTTGTTCGATTGCCATTGCCTTGGGGACTTTTGGTTTGTGTAAGTGTACACTTGCACAGATTTGATTAATGGGAACATCTAAGAGGTTGAATCGCTCAATCCAGTCTAATCCAAGGAGGTTCAAATTCTTGTGTGTTGTGACGAAAATAGTTCCCCAAGCGGTGAAGTTGGCAAAGCGACACTCACATTCAATCTGACCGATCAAGTTTAGACTCGTACCTGATGCGCTCTTCGCTTTATGGTTAGTTGGTTTAATGTCAGGTGAACCGATAGCTTTCCATAAGTTTTCCGTAATGACTGTAATATCGGAAGCCGTATCAATCTGCAGACGCGCTACTCTTCCGTTGATGGTAATAGTGACGAACTTTCTTCTATCTTTAACATCGTCCGTATAGTTAGCGTTTACTCTTGTCGCGAACCTTCGGTAACCTGCTTTTCGAGTATCACATGACGATCTAAATGATGTTTTGAATCTGCAGTGGGTCTCCTTGTGCCCCCGTCTAAAGCACCTTTGACAAACATGTTTGCTGAAAGGACACCATCTCACAAAATGCCATCCTCCGCATTGCCAGCAAGGTGATGGGGGTTTGGATTGTGGATATCTGCTAGGTTGAGCGGTCGGTGGGTTGTTTCCTGAAATTTGCTGGACAGATATATCTGCGGAATGTGCTCTCGAATCTTCCACCATAGCCGTATCGTGCTTTAAATTCATGATTCTTTGGGCTTCAGCAATGGCGTTTTGTAATGTAACATCTGTGTCGCGTTCCAACATACCAAGTATTCTCGTTCGTATCTCGGCGTCTTTTGGGGACTGTAGACTGCATACTAGTATCAAACACTCGAACTGGTCTTCCGTGAGCGACTTCAGTTTGAATTTCTGGCATTCACGTTTGACTATCGCCGCGTGAGCAATAAGACTGTCATTGTCCTTTTTGCATAGCTTTAGACAATTGTATCGGTTATTGAAAAGAGACGACTGGTCTCCAAACAACGCTGTGAGTCGAGCAACTGTATCATCAAAGCTGAAATCATGCGCGTTGTTTGGCAAAATGTAGTTAATGTATCTGTCATGTTCAACCGTTCCGAGTTTTCGTAACAAAAGGCGAACTTTAGATGCATCATCGAGACCTGACAACTCTGCCCTGAAAACATCTTCATAGCGCCTGAACCACGCATCGAATATTAATCCTGAGTCAGGATCGAATATGAACTCATTAACACTACTGATCATCGCATCCGCCGAAGGCTTCCCATTGTTCTGAACGACCGTAGGCTGCACAGATAACATTTGGGTGAGGGTTTCAATCATACGCAGCTGTGCTGTTTCAAATTGCTGCTGTTGCTGCAACAAAATGATTTTCAGGTCTTCCGCTGAAATTGACATCTTGATCCACTACCTTCCGTCGCCAAAAATATATGTTATGGTTTCGGCTGACCTACCGATGACCTGCTGCTAGCGTGCACTCTGATCAGCCCGACTTCCCAAAGCAGGAGACCGGCGTACGGCTGGCAAGTATATTTTGCTTAACGTCCAAACTAACGGTACATTCAATTTATGGCCAAATCAATAGCCCTCAGCGTAAAACGCTCTCATTGGCTGGTTCCGTCCCATTAACAGAAACTTATTCTTGAATTAAATCCGTACTCTTCACTAGGTCCCGATGATTTGCGCCCTTTGTTCCTCAATACGGTAGCCAGACACGTTACTGCTTCTGTTTGCCAATATTTTCGGCACTCCCTAGATGCTGGACATCACCTGAGGGATCGGAATTGGGGCACCATGCGACCAATATACACAAGAGGAGATCGTCAGAACTTTGTAACCTATCGGTCGGTCTGCCTGACATTGGTAAATTGTAAATTCGTGAAACGCATTCTTAACCGTACCCTAAGTCTCCACCTGCATATGCTCTCAAGCGCGCAGCATGGTTTTTTGATAGGCGCATTTCTGTCTCTCAACTCCACTTGTTGCCAAATAAAATGCATGCGATCGCTGGATGCTGGCAATCGCTTTGATGTCATTTTCGTCGATTTCAGCAGGGCATTTGACAGTGCTTCATGGACGTCTCCGAAAACTCCGGGGACTTGGCGTTTCTAGATCCTAGATCGCTTTTTTTGAATGGCCGGAGCGTGCAAGTTAAGGTGAATGATGCGGGTTTTGAGCTGTTTTCCGAGCTGAGTGATTATTGTGCAGATGTTTCGTTGCCTGACTAGGCAACATCATCAGTGCGGCTTCGGGGGCCTGGTTCGCAGTGCCTCGTAAGCGACTTCAGTATCCAAGTGCTTATTGATCGAGTTCTGTTTTGAATGCCAGGCTCCAATGAACTCACGTGCTTTCCGGCTTTTAGCCCTTCCGAAGATAGTGGCATGCTCTAGGTCGAATTGATGGTTCTCAACATCCATATGCACTGACATCAGGGAGTTCTGATCGTGGCCACGAACCACCAATTCGACCTAGAGCATGCCACTATCCTCGGAAGGGCCAAAAGCTGGCAAGTACGTGAGTTCTTTGAAGCCTGGCATTCAAAACAGAACCCGATCAATAAGCACTTGGATATTGAAGTCGCTTACGAGGCACTGCGAACCAGGCCCCCGAAGCCGCACTGATGATGTTGTCTAGGCAGGCAACGAAACGTCTGCACAATAATCACTCAGCTCGGAGAACAGCTCAAAACCCGCATCCACACCCGGAGCTACGGATATTCTCATTTAAGGTGAATGATACCTGTTTCATACCTGGATTATGATCAACGGCGTCCCACAAGACTCTGTCCTTGGTTTTGAGCCCTTTGAAATCTTCCTCGCTGACCTCCCACCAGTGCACTAAACTGATTACCTAGTATATGCTGATGTCTGTGGCTGGTGTCTAAGATTGAAGATACTGACCGGTTGTAAGCAATTCTAGTCCGGTTACACTGCTGGTCAATAGACTTGCGGCTACCACCACCGTCATCATAATCATCAATACACGTCAGCCGAGGGTGAGAAACACGCCTCCGCCAATGTGCTACAATACAAAAGGATAATATACAAAAATTACACTACACAGCTTCGAAATTCAAGTGGTAGCATGTTAAATATTATATTATTCATTCGCTATGAGATCGTAATTGGAGGAGCATCTAACAGAGAGTTAGAGGGACAAAGAAACACAACACAAACGCCATTGGGGTCGGTTCCTAGCCATGTCAGCAAGTGCGTCCACCCCAACGTGTTCATCGTCGTTCGGACCTCAGGCCGGCAGTCGGGATACACCAACCGATGCCAACTGCGAGGTGAGGATTTTCATTTCTTTTGAAGAAGTCACTGTTTGGCCTTCCCTTCTATTCCATCCAGGCCCCGAGCGCGCAAACAACGCACCTCGCGGGAGTCGGTCGGTTGGTATGCGCAACACGTGGCCCAGCCATCGTGGCCTGTTGCGTGATATAATGGTGCTGAGCGGTTCACTCGCTCTTCCTGTATGAAATACGACGCATTTGACTCGGTTAATCATCGTTTTTTATTGGAGAAGCTGACTTGGTTTGGGCTGCGTCCCCAGCTGATGACTTGGTTGTCGGATTTCATCTGTGGCAGAAAGTTCGGTGTCAGAATTGGTGAGGCTAGATCTAGCATGGGCACTGCCCATAGCGGAGTCCTCCAGGGTTCAGTGCTAGGACCGTGGTTGTTTCCTATGTTTATAAATGATCTAGCTCCGCTCCTCGAGAACCCCAGTTATGTTTTTTACGAATGACGTAAAGCTTCTCAGTAGGGAAGATAGGGATATGTTTTCTGAAGACATGGGCATTGTGGCAAAGTGGTCTGAATCATGGGACTTGACATTGAACGCGAACAGGTGTCAGCTGTTATCACCCAGTCACGTTGGGGTTACGGTGCAGACATCCAAAAGGTCTGACATTGAAGTGTGTAGGTAAGGCATCGTTTTGGTAGATAGCTTCAGGCCTTCGGCGCAGTGCCAATATGCTGCTAACAGAGCGCAGCAGGAATTTTTCGCCTCAGGAGAGCATTGTGTAATACTAAACCTGAGGTCTTTCTCCCATTGTACAAAGTGGTGGTTCTGCCACACTTAGTGTATTGTGTTCAGGCTTGGACATCTTACTTTCGAAAGGTATCGCTTACTTAGAGAAAGTACACAGACTGGCCACCAGGATGATTGAAGTCCAGCGTGAGAAGTCGTGTGTTGATCGCATGAATTGTTTAGGCTTGTTCTCATTGGAACGACCCAGACTAAGGGGAGACCTGATAGAAACGTTTAAGGTTATAAAGGGTCTCAGTGGCATTAAGCCTACCGATCTCTGAACTAGCTACGTCGGACCACCTGCGGGGACACCATCTGAAGCTCATGACGCATAGGTCCAGACTGGATATCCGGGCGAAATTTTTCACTAACCGCGTAGTACGTAGTTGGAATTTACTTCCCTCTGCACTAGTGGAATGTAATACTATAGAAGCCTTTAAAAGAGGCCTAGATATGAATTGGTCCACTCTGTTTCCGGAATTGCACTGAGATTAGTGGATTTCAATTAGTACCAATAGGATGTCACGAATGGTTTCATAAAGTTACGAGACGTTTCTCTTACTCTTTTTTTGTCTCTGCAGAAGTAAAGCTTGAACGTCGAGGTGCCGGGGCCCTTGTCTTGCTTACCAGCACACAAAATGGGACGCTCGTTAGGCGAAGGCCTGTTTCGTCCCTGAAGATCTGACCTGACGCCGCTCACGCGGTGTCGCTACTAGACATGAGCTAAGCTGCGAAGGCAGCGATGGTCAACATAATGGACCAGGTTTCACAACTGTAGAGGAGGATTGAACGGAGGGCCTCATTATAAACTCCGCACTTCAGGGCGAGAATGATATCGCGTCGGCGGAGATTAGTAAAAGCACATCGGGCTTTTGCTGTACGGTTCGTGATCTCATTTTCAATCTCACGGTTAGCTATCCGTAAACCATTATATGTTTTTCTCTCAATTGGTGCCTTAGACCCCTTTAATGTTCATCACATTGTCGGCTTCTTCCTCAGAAACACAATCTCCGAATAGGACCTTGGAGTCCTTGTCTTACCAAACTTAGCAATTTAGGACACCTTAAGAAAAGTTGGTGCTGCCAATAGGATGTTCTTTTCTACAAGGAGATCTTTTGCCCAAATTACTCTAGAGCTCTTCCGACTTCTCTTCAGCTCTCATGCGACCAATTCTTGTCTACGGACTGCCAACATCCTATTCTCTCATAAAAGCCGAAAATATTCTGATAGAGAAGCGTCGGCTGCGCGGATCGAAGTCACGGCACTGCGGAACCTGTCTTGCTCTCTTCGACTTCAAAGCGTGCACTTGTCCTCTCTGGAGTATCGTCATCGTCGTGGTGACTTGCTTTGCACCCGGCGTATTCTACGTGGTGAAATGGGAAATGAGTTACCAGAGTACTTTTGTGTAGGTAAAAATTCCTCTCATCTAAACTCACTCAGACAGCCACCACACGCACGGAACATCACTGTGCTTCTGTTTCATCCTCTCGGGAATCGTCAGCAGTGCGCATTCCATCTGACCCTTGTAGGACTCCAACCCGCAATTCGACTGTTGCCTGCCTGTGGTTACGATCACTGAGTTACGCGGAACAGCAGCGATCATCGTGAATAAATTACTAGATTTGATATAGCGCCGCTCACTATCCACTGACTTGCGGATAGTTCGACACTGGGCCATTGTTGAAGGCTTCGAGTTCGATCCGGTTTTACTTTGTCAACTCGTGTGGTGAGTGACTGGAACAATCTACCCGAGTTACTTGTCAATACATAAACAGACAAGTGTTTTAAGCAGTTTCTAGACAGACCTAGATCATACTGTGTTTACGGCGACCGTAGTGCTCCCTTGTGGAGAACTGCCGCAACAGCACCTAGTCCCTGCAGTGAAGTGAAGAGCGATGGAGCTGACAAAGGACATCCTTTCTGCTCTCTACAACCCAATGAACCTATCACGAAATATGCTGCACTACGCGGTCTAGTCCGTGTGGATTACTGCAGTCGCATTCCCCCGAAAAGTTTGTGTTTGTAGCACCTACTTAACTTCACATCTCGTCGCGCAACACATATACTGGCCGACTGAAATATCACCGCACTCAACTTCGTCGTACTTAGACAGTATTAACAAGCTGTGAACAACATTTGCATGACGTTCAGGTCCTAGCGCCCCTAGCAGTAAGCCATCAAAATGCTTATGGCGATTATGCATTTGACTTTACCGTATTCCCGTTCGCTGGAGCCAGCTTACAACTACTGGAAAGTTAACTTCAACAGTCTCACTCAAGCTGCGAGCCATGTAGCTTGATCTATGCAGCAAGCTGCATCTGTAGAAGACTGTTGGGTTGTTATTAGAAAGACATTACTATGTCCTCCTT